GGGGGGGTAGGGAACTCAGGGCCACCTACACATCCGCCGCCATAAGCCACACCTGGCTGACCTGGCCAACTCCACCCAGACTGACCTACAGCAGGGCCAAAACCTGTAGGGCCAGTAAAACCAGTCCCACCAGGGGAGCAGCGTGCACCGGCAAAGCCAAACGCATTGGAAAACCCGGGGAGGGGGCACAAGGGATAGAGCTGGGACCATAGGTTTTCACACCAGTGCTCACACCCCTCCTACCCGACTGACCTGCACGCCCCTCGCGGGCGGGGAGAACCTACGGCAGGAGTCGGCTGCAATGAACGGCAAATGTCGCAAGGCTGCGCCAGAGAGCAAGACCGACAGCTATGACAGTAAGGGTGGGGGTCGGAAGCCTAAAAAATGACCCCCAGGACAGCGCCTTTGAGAAGGAGGAGTCTGCATCTCAATGTAAACAAACGCGAACACGTGGCCGGAGCCTGGTCGGAAAACGGCGCAAAATAAAGCCGACCGCTAAATTAGAACACAAATAATAATATAAAGGATACAACAATATATCCGTACAAACAACGTCAGTAGCAGTTGGAAACCCCGTAGTAAGAACCAAAACACGTCCGTAAACATGGAAGGCTGAAGGAATTATGAAGTGGGAAGCATGGCTTCGTGTCTGATCACGTGCGTGAGTACTGCCGTCTGATTGGTGGGTTTTTCCAGGGGTCCCGTTCCCCAGGGGGAAAATCTTTATTTACGTATGTAAAGAGCCAAGTAGGATTGAAATATGCATTATAATGACTGTGGTAACGTATTCTAAAGCAGAAATTTCAAACTGTTTACATTACACACAAGTTCGTTAAATGGCACTGAAAAAGTGTTTTTCTGAGAAATACAACGGTTATTAGTGTGTACTGTTCTAACCAGGCGCCAAGACTAAGCTTACAAAATTTGCGACGTGCTGTGTCGTAATCGTAATTGCAGTTTTATTTTGTCTTTAGCAAGTGTGCAACAAATTCACTAATTACAAATAATATTAATCGTACTAATAATAACAAACCTCAATAAGAAATTTGGGCTTTTTTCAGTGTGTCCCATAACGATCACCAACACAATCGATGTAAGTGGCTGTCATTTTCGCCGCAAATTGTCATTAAAATAATGTAAAATTGGTCATGTTTTTATGCTGAGATGAAACATATTAAATAGCTGAATATCATATAAAAGTGATAGCAATGCATATAAGAATACATCAGAGTAATGCTATACGGTTGATTTTAAAATTAATATTTTTGCATTGGTATCAGATGTATGATGTCATCATGGTAGGCGTACAGTTTCTAAAAAGCGTTGATATTATACTTTCAATAAACAGTGTCATCTACTAGAAGCGGTGTTTAATCCTAGCCAAACACCGGTTGGTCTGCATATTTCGGATATGGTTCTATCAATATTAATACATTGTATATAGCTACTCGCTGTATGCATACAAAAAGGATTGACAAATGGCATTTTTGTTGAACGCGACATGAAAACATTGACTGTGGAATCAATGAATACATAATCGTCAACTGATGCTGTTTCCTTCGTCAAGGCAAAGTCACGTGTATTAAGTCCAATTTGAACGTTACGCTTTTATAATAGAAACACATCACATAAATTGTACATATAGTGTTTTGGGGGTTTGGTAGATGTAACGTGAACCATTCAGTATGCTTTGTTAAGAAAACATATGTATGGAACCAATATATGTTTAAAAAACAAAAACATTGTTATCGTGAACACGCCATTGGGCTGACCTGTAAGCACCCGCCACGTAGATACATGTGTGACCTGGTGGCCTGTCCGGACGATCGGTTGGGTTATATAGATTCGTCAATACCAAGCAAATATAATATACATATTAATCGAGGATTTTAGTAAGCAGTAAGTCTGCTATAAAACTGCGGCTGACATTGTGAATAGTCTTGAATAGTGTTTAATAGTAGGAAAGGTTGCCCTTATTGATTTGTAAGTGCATATAAATGACCATGGTTCTCCGATTACCTCAACAAGGAGTGGCGAAGGAGTCGATCTATCGATTAACAAGTACCTATATATCACTGTGGTTCTTAGATTATCTCAACTCTTAGACAAAACAAGTGGCGAATAAGTTTAAAACAAACAAAAACATAAATTCACATTTTCAGTTAGCATAAAAGTTGTTAATTTTCATTTCATAAAATAAGTAGCTAATGCTCCGCAAACTATTTTTCATGCTTTTTTACAAACGATAATAGCTATAGTCGATATAGAACAACTCACCGCAGACGGTTATAATATTCATAAAGAGCAAGTGACCGTAGTCCTCACGTTACACCATTATTGCCAAATCAAAGTGTATAACAATTTAAAAGAGAAAACAATATACCTCACTGTAACTCGAATTCTAAAATATTCAGGCAAAACTATTACAAACAGACGTTAATAACTGAATGGTATCACTATCAAAAGGTCAGACGCATACCATAAGACTAACATTAATAAAATATTGAATTGCAAACTCTCTTTCGCGTGGAAATTGCCCAATATTATTTTGATTAAACATAATTGTTCTAATGTTCTAAGAGAGATTAGCCGCTAGAGTGAACATGTTTTAACACAAAGATACCAACAATGAAATATTTAAAATATTGATATTCATTGATATAGGCCTGTAATGTTCTTGCTGATATATTTTATATGGTTACAAGCGACGTACTCACTTAACCCAGATACATAAATGCGGACACATAGCAGACAGGGGTATTAATTACATCCCATTATAGATTTATAACAAATAAAACAACGATAAGTGTCGCGCTACACACACAAAAACACATGTGACATATGGTTCAAGGAAATAAGAGGATTTGGGTATTTTGGACGATAAAACGTTATTGTATATCGATATTACATAACTCTGATGTACTAAAGGACAAACAACACTAGGATAAGTTACACCATTGGATCCTGTCATCTTCCCATTGTCTTTTTTATCATGATTTTATCAAAAACTCACTTGTCTTTCCTACCTTAAAACAGCTGATCTTATTAATTAACTACAAATCAACATGAATGAACAGTTAGAGAAAAATTACATGTAAAAAGTCAGCGTTGGTACACGTGTTAATCGGTAACTGGAAAAGCATACAATGAGAAACACGAATGGTCCCTGATGTTTGATGCCAATACTCAATGTTCCCTCATTGAACAAAATTCTCATTTACTACCTCAGATAAGGTCACGTGATGTCATTATTACACCGATAAAAGACTGAGTCCGGTGTCAACGAAGACTATAATTCGCGTATTTCAAACAGGATGTGGACAACACATATAGCTTTTCTCGCCCTCCTCTTTGTGCAGATTATTTTGGCTGACGGGGATGATTGCCTAGCCACAGGTTTGTATTGCCAATAATTTTCACTTAAGGGAACTTTTTTTTGTGGTTCAGTATAGGAAAATCTTAAAATGTGAAAACGTTTCAAAAGATAACGAACCTATTTCATTTGCTATTTGAATTATCCCCAAGCCATTTGCATATAACAGTAAGTTTATCCAAGATTTTATTTTATAATAATTATCAGTATTTGTATTCAAATGATAATATTGTTTTGAGTTATATATATAAAAAAAAAATCATGTATCAAGAGCACTGTTGATATGTCATTGAAGCTAATGTAAAGTTACAAACAACAGTTACCTGTACTTTGGCTATCAACTGATTTAATTGGACCTGTACCGCCCGACTTACCGCTATTATTCACCAATATTTCGCAGATATTCACATTGCTCGACGTGACGGTAATGATCTGTGAAAGGATCATACTGTATTACTTAGTTATACTTTGTTCATGAGTTTTAATGCATGTCAGCAAGAGGTAAGATACCAGTTGTCATTAGGGTTTGTCAGATGATTTTCGTCAACATATCTTTTATTACCCATTTTGACGTCATGGTTAAAACAATAACGATTGTGACGCCACATCAAGGACAACGTAAGATGTCAAAGAAGTAGACCTTTATAATGGCAAGACAATTTCTTCGGCAAAACAATGCATATGGTAATGTGACAAAAGGGATGATGAGTTTGTTTTTATTTCATGTCAGATTACTACTTTCGTCCGGAAGACACATTTTAAGTTCAGAAAAGCTCCGTTCCATTAGGTTTCATTGAAAAGGAATTTCGCTTACATTTTTCCACTGTCATTCTTAATAATAAATCTTATGTACCTGCAAATTTCAAAATACCTTTCCCTTTACATATAATAAACTCAGTTTTGGATAAGAAAGGAATTGAAAAATATTTATTTTCAGTTTTGTTTTCCTTCAAGTAGTGTTTTTAGTTCATTTTATCCTACTAATTTATCAAATGAAAACTCGTAAAGTGATTTAAGATCTAATTAAAATTGAAATCGATCACTGATATTTACACATTTAATCCTGCTGCTATTATACTCATTAGTGTGCCTTATAGTTTCTTTATCACTACCCCGGTATTCTCTAAGAGGACGTTACAACACTTGAATTTAACCTAGATTTACATAGCGAATGTTATCGATGCAGCAGAGGACACTTACCAATCCGAAACACATAGTCCTATTATCTTTGTACTTTCTCAAATGTCTCATTATAAATCTTGTCCGCGCTAGTTTCATTGGTTTTTTTAGTTGTTCGAACGACGTTTTTTTCACCCCTCGGTTTATTTTTTTATTGTTTGTTTTTTTACGCGCGACTATTTATTGGTTCGCCTCACAGTCATAATCTTTAAGCAGTTTTGAATGCGCTACCAATTTAAAATGCACGTGTGCATACGGAATTCTTATTGTAAATAGTTTCACCAAATATTACATAGCGGATTTCATCGTTGCAGCAGAAGACGCTTACCATTATATACTGTTAACTATAATCACTCTCGTGGGCCATCCATACCTATTCATGTCTGATCGAGTAGTCGAATCCTGGATGAATTGATGAAAGTCCAGTGCGCTATCCACTGTGCCAGCCGACTAACTATAGTTTAAATATAATCTATTCTGATATTGTAATCATGATTTAATTGTACTCTATTCTAAATATGTTGTAGACATACTTTTTATTTTCCCTTTTCTAGGTGTTGTCATATATAAGGATTAGATATACTTTTAGATAGTTTTGTAGGCATGTGTTAAACATATCGCATTCGCGGTAGTGTTGTAGACATATTTTACACGTTTCTAATGCTTTGTATTCTTTGAGACCGATCTTCAATTGACCCTATGTAATCTAGATATGTTTCAGTCATGTGTTTAACATTCACAGGACAATGTACTGCTCTTGACGGTACCACGTGTGTATCCCCAGGAACTACCCAACCAGAAGAGTGTGACATCTATAAGTGTGAGCTAGTGAACGGCAATCTCACATACGAAGTCGACCAATCGAGTAAGTACTTCGCTTAAACCATCATCATCAGCTCCTAACGATGGTTCGACAGATATATTGTGTGACCTGATATTCATATCTACAGATATAAACGTATTTGGATACCTTATATTTGATTGGTGTGGATAGTTGAAAACCTCTGGAAGTCAAAGATATTCAGTTCTGGGTACACATATTAAAAACAGCGGTTTGCTCAGTTGACATGCTGTAAAGGTACGTCTGTTTTCCATGCATATGAATTAGGTAAGAACAGCGATTTCTTTACATAAACTGTCGATAATAATAATTATAATAATTCAACGTTCTTATATACCGCTTTATCACAACCAAGTTCGTAGATCGTTTCAAAGTGGTTCACAAATTATTTTTCGTTGCAATCAGACACTATCTTTCTCAATTCACTGGGGAGCATACAGCCGTTGCTGTCATTTCGGCGCTCACAGTAAGCATTCAACAATTCTAGCACTGGCCAACCATGTACTCATTCACAGCTGAGTAGACTGGAACAAGCGGAGCAAAATATCTTGCTCAAGGATACAACACAGTGTTGAGCCGTGACTCGAACCTGTAACCCGACATACGACTGGATTCTGAGCTCAATGGTTACGCATTTTGATACCTTAATACTATAAATAATTGAAATTGAAATTAAAACAAACAATTGTGAGTGGTTCATGGGTTAATCAGTTATTTTCAGTGTGCATGTGTCATGCTTGATGTGTTTCGATAATGTTACTTCTCGTTTAAGAATGTCAACATCCAAACGGGACCTGTTTAAAAGAAAACCATATAGAGAAGGACACAGTGTCCTGTATACAGACGACGTGTAAAAGGGAAACGAATGACGATGGATCATTTACAATGAGAGTACTTATAAAGCCCTTCGGTAAGTCAATGATTTCATGAATGTATTTCTTATTTTTCATGCATAATAAAAGCCTTGCACAAGCATGTAACCTTCATTCTGATTAGCTAAATCCCACATTCCCTATTCGGCTAAACCGTTATATGGACATTCGAACACCAGAAGAGGTAAATATAACATTGTGATACAGCTTTAAGTAACCAAATATAGGGCAAAGGGAAATCCTGTTATCTTTTCTGGAAAATCCCAAATAAATTTCAATAAGATCTTGTTGACACTTGTTTCCACATATTCCTTATTGACCCAATACATACTAATTATATTACCTTATTGTAATTTACACAGATATCGTTCATCTTAAAATTATCAAAAAGGTCACATGAAAAACTTAAATCAATGGTTGTTTGAATAATTATATTTTTGTCTTTTTAATTTTTGGTTGACATTCGCTTGCCAGGAAGTTAATTTATTTTCAAGAAAACGCCCGTTTTCTTTGTATTTCTCTATTGGACGTAGTCGTTTCATTATCATGACAGTATATAATGGGATACATATATAAACTAATATTGTATAATAAATTGTAGTGATTCATATTGTTGTTTTCCACAGCTTGTAGGCTGCATAGTGGCTTCTGTCTTGCTCCTAACAAGCGAGATGTTGACTTTGAACAGTGTAAAAAGTCATTCTGTAAGGTGACGGACGGGAAATACACTGTAACGTATAACTACTTTGGTACGTTAAATATACAATTTAATCTTATTTCATAGTTCGACTTTGTGTTGAACCCAGTAAGTGAAAGGACGTCTTTTGTTATTAATGATTACGTCATTTTCTCAAGCGCCTTTAACGAAGGTTTTTTAGCGTCAAATTGTTGCGGATGACTTTTTGACTGTATGTCAGTCATTGACAAATAATTGAAAATGGTTACAGCTGCATCACTGTGATAAAACACTATATTTAACTGTTTGGATATAAATAGCTATAATATTAATCTGGAATTCAAAGATGGATTAAAAAACGAATATAATATGTAAGTAGCACAAGTTGTATTGTGAACGTTAGCCCTTTTTTGTCTCCGACAGAACCATATAGAATAATAGGTAAATACAGTTCCGTTATAGTTCCTACTCTAACGACCGCACTGTAATAAAAACTCCTTTATCTGAAATTTTCTGATTTGGTTCTGCATGCACCATATATTTCCTCGTTCATACTTAAACCTCCGATGTGTTCACAGGTTGCCCCATGAACGACACTTGCCAAATACCAGGAACAACTGTACCAGGAGATTGCATGAATTATAGATGTAAAATATCAAATGACAAATCCAGAATGCAATTGAAGCCGCTTGGTAAAATATGTAAGTAAATATGGCCGCTCCGACGCCGGCGTTGTTGTTGGTTTAAGCATGGTGCAAGATCTAGTAGAAGGGCTGGTATGCATAAAACTTCTTAAGTTAAAATTTGTCCGAATGGATAGATTTTTCTCTTCATATCCTTTAATAAATTAGTACTCCAAATGGATTTCTTAACGAAGTAATGTTATGAATACGGGACCACTGGTACAATATAGTATTTGTACTATTATGCCTGTTTTACATCTGCTACGGCGTAAATAATTTCGCTAAAATCGTCAAGGTTATGTATATGTACGATATTGGTATTTTACATGAATGTTACCGAAGTGTAAAATATTGAAGCTAAACAACACTGTTATTTATTACCGGGTACTTGCGCAGTTGTCGTTAATCACGTGGTACTGTATGTTGTTCTGCCGTAGCCTGTCTCATGGAGAACGGAACCTGTCTGGATAAGGGGGACACTATTACGGATGAAGTGTCATGCCTAAAAAAGGAATGCAAACTATACAAGTATAGTAACAACACAGTGGCTACTGGAATCATTGAGCGATTTTACGGTATGTTACAGTGAGGTAATGGTAGCCCTCTGTCGAACCTAACCATGTTTGACAAATGTTTATGATATAATATTAAATACCGGTTAATGTGATTGTTTTCTTCTCTTTTTTTGTGATAAGTTGAGGCAATAGCCACAAAAAGAGATATAGGTTCACCTAAAAATAATCATCTTGGTAGGCAAGTAAACGCTGAGAAGATTGTGTAAATCATACTCTAATGGGTTAACCTTCGCGTACAGGATGTCCGTACGAAGAACGCTGTGAGGACATCGGTACTATCAAACAAGACACACAGAGCTGTACAACGAAAAAATGTAGGATGTTCAACAATGGCCTCTTCATGAATTGGAAAATCATAGACCAAGGTTAGTATCATATTCAAATTATTTCAAGGATATCTATTTAGAGAACATGCAAATGGTATAATTTTGTGTATTTGCTTATATTTTATATATAAGTATTTAAGCAATCAAACTATACTAAAAGTGCTGCTTAACTGCCGTTATATGGATAACCTGGCATTAGATACCTACTGGCAACTGTGGTAAAATATCACAATATAAGATGACGCGTAGGTTTACTTCCTCCGCATTGGTTGGATCATAAGCACATGGAGGTTGGTGATTTGTGACATTGACTCTATCTTACTATCTTTAGCAACAGCTGGTTAATATTTTCTTTATGACCTCATGTCAGTTATAACGTCACACTGCTGTCTGCCAAATGCAGTGTTTTCCCCCTAACACTTTTCATACGTTCTACTTTTTAAATGATTTCAGCGTTATTTAGCATCTAGTATAAGAATTAATTACTTTTATTTCGGTGAATGTGTGTTATTAAAACCCAAACAAAGTGACAGGGATCTCGACTTCTCCTCAACTCAATTATATGCACCTATCCCTTCTATAAACCTTTTGCTACCATACCTCATCATCAAATAATCTTAGTGCCCCGTTCCATCGTTGACAGGCTGCAGTGTCGGGGACGGGTGTAGGAACCACGCTGAACGTTGGAATGAGGATACGGAGTCCATGTGTGTGGTGAAAAGTTGTAACGTTAAGGCGGAAGGGAAAAATGGCTACACATGGAACACGGACATCATCAGTCATGGTATCCGCTACTATATTTTAACTGGTCTGGTTACAGTCTGTTTCTAATATTAACATTGATAGCGATGTTCATCACACTATAACGCTCTATGATTCTTTCCCTTCACAGCCGTTAACTCTCCTTTCCTCAGTATTATCATACCAGTCTTCACTATGTTTACTGAGTCACGTGCAGCCTTAAATTGTCTTTTCTAGTAATCCGCTGTAATTCGAATTTATTTTATAAATGTTTTTTGCAACTATATTTCAGATATAGTTTTGGAAAAATTTATCACTTTTGGAAAGCATAGTAGAAATGACAAGAATGTTATGATAGTAGTAATCATAAAATATGTCATGTTACTGTTGAGCTCTTTAATTTTATCATGAGTTAAAGAAACAGATTTTAAATGAAATTAAAATTAAAGTTATCCTATTGGCAATTTCTTTAATTAATCATGTATTCGGCACCTTATATGTATAACATTTAGATAAGGGGAAAAATAAGAAATATACGTGTTTCAATTTATTACCCTTCTTACCGAAAACGTATTGACTTTTTTAACATCCCGACCAACTATTTTGTTTTATAAATATAAAAAAATAATATCCGTTACAAAATTCCTTTATGGCGTTTATTTACCTCTTGTTCTTTATTTCACGGTGAAAAATGCTTAACTGATAACATGATTAACATATCCATGCTTGCAAATAAATTCCATAAATTGGTCTGAACATGATCAGTGAAATGAATGTTGGCGTGGTTGGCAGGGTGACAGATCGAGCTAATGAGAGTAATTCTGAGTACCGTGAGACTTATCGCTGATCTTTAACCCCAACGTTGGTTTATTTCTAGGCTGTCGATCATTTAACGGCACGTGTTATTACAATGGGGACACCTGGATGGACGATGGCTGCTTCACCAAGAACTGCACCGTCAGTGAGACAGAGGACGGGGGTTCAAGTATGAAGACAGACATCGTTGGAGGAAGTACGTATTTTCCTATCCCTATACAAATGGATGGGACCAGAAGAGTATATCATTTGGAGAGATACTAGAAAAGACTGTAAAGGCTCCAAAATTATATTTGGTATTAACGTTTTCCCCAAGAAATAAGTCGTTTAACGGCTGTTTTGGAGTCAAAATTTGATTCCGCCGATCAGAATTACAAAATATTCATTATGCTAGCCTAGGTATAATTTAACATTTAAGACTCAGAAATAATCAGCAGCCGATTTCTCATCAACAAATTAATACCTACTAATTCCCCGGTAGTAATAATGCAGGTTGGCTACCTGAACGGAACTTCTGGGAATAATAGCGTGACATGTGATAAAGGTTTTTGCCGATTTAATAAATCGATAGATCAAATGATAATATTCAACATTAGATCATTTGAGTTCAAAACTTGTAGCCTAAATAAACATTTAAAACAACTTGATACAATGAGTCTGCTACATGTACCAGACAAGGGACAGGTTTGTCTCGTTCAGTTTAAATGTTCCTGGATATTTGATAAAAGGAGTCAACCAATTTGTAGATATGATCTATAAAAAACAATTACTATTACGTGTGAAATGTTTCGCAATTTTTGGCAAATCTTAGGTTTGGTCTTAAATGTTATAAAGTGATGTAATTTTCACATATCTACATTTGATATACTTCATATGTTCTGTCATTGTATCAAACTATATGCCAGATATAGGATCAAACGAATTGGTTTCATAACACGAATTGTTTTTTCTTAATTTCGTTCGTTTGATGGGTGAAGTGAAGCATACTTAAAAGAAATGGTACTAACAGCTTACACATTATTGTTACTATAATCACTTTTGGGGAAAAAATAATAATATTTGCTTGCATTATGATATATGTATTTAGATATATCCATCGATTCGTTTCTGCAGTTTGCAAGGCGGTGGACGGTTCATGTGTTGAGTATGGGAAGGAATTTCTGGCGCAGGAAGGCGGACCGCCCTGTGTATGTGTGGAGGCTACCTCTACGGACGGCTACTCAATCGGGCAGACTTCATGTCCTGTCCCTGCCTTATAACATACAAATGTCAAGTGATCCATTAAATGACAGCAAACCGTTTGTTCAAGTTTTGAAGTTATTCTTTACCAAATGTTCACCGTTTCAATTATTTCAAATAATATTTACTTTAAAAATATCTTGCTGTTGTGTTACTAGATCACAATATGACAAACCGTTTGATAAATTCACTCAGACATTCAGTATTATAGAAATGTACTCATTTTATTGTTTCCTTCCTAAGTAATACCAAGTTTTAACTAGTAAGTAGTAACGATTGGAATTATTTCAAACTCGATTTAAGGATACCTGTTCCAGTGTCAAACTCGACTAAAGAATATTCGTTCAATTATCAGCCTCGACTTAAGAATATCCGTCCCACTGTGAATCTCGACTTAAGAATAAACGTTCAACTATCAGCCTCGACTTAAGAATATCCGTCCCACTGTCAAACTTGACTTGAGAATATACGTTCAACTATCAGCCTCAACTTAAGAATATCCGTCTCACTGTGAATCTCGACTTAAGAATAAACGTTTAACTATCAGCCTCAACTTAATATCCGTTCCACTGTCAAACTCTACATAAGAATATCTGTCCCACTATCAGACTCGACTTAAGAATATATGTTCCACTGTCAAACTTGACACAAATCGCTACTGAAAGAATCTTATGTGTTTCTGAATCTTATGAAGATGAAATGGGATAAAAAAAATAATAACAATTTAAGGGTAAAAGTAGAACGGGATGAGACCGGGGTTCAAAACCTGATTGTCCAATCACAATACGGTAGCTCTCATAAACTAAGCTTCCTCCTCAGGAAGTTACCTGTTCTAGTCCCAGCACAGTGATGTGCAGGAGGGGCGTCTACATGTATAACAAAATTATAGTAGAAACCTTTGTTGTTTGGCCTGCAAAGCGACAGGGATCCTTTCAAAATAAATCCCCGGAAATATTTGCTTGGTTTATCTTATTAGGGTTTGAAAAGTTCAAATTAATAGATAGTTCGTTTTCGTTTAAAAACAGTAGAGAAGTAAAGAAAGGGAGACAAACTGAAACAGCTGGCTGATGTATGTATGGAGTTTTAACAAATAAATACATTCCGAGTGGAATATAGGTCAACAGATCATGTAAAATATTAATCCGCGAATATAGTAGTTATTTGTTCACACCAAACAAGATAAAAAGGATTAAAATTAATTCTTATCTTCTTACAGTACGTAACACGTTTTCTTTTTAAGTCAGGAGATACAAAAATTTAACAATAAATCATGTGCATTTCATCAAACGGGCTCGACTTATCTAACACTGTTTGGTACAGTATATAGTGTACATTATAGCAAAGTATCGAAGCCGTCTGTCAACAAAGTTGCCGCCCACAAAGAGGAAAAGCTCTACAGTGAATATATACGTTTAAATAGACAATAGGACGTATTAAGTTGTATTCGGACTTCACGTTTGTTGTTTAGCGTTAATGTCAGGGCGTTAACCGTGAACACTGGTTTAGACACCTCAGATAATCCACGGAGACATAATGCTTTAAGGAAACACAGACTCAGATAAAATAAATCAAAAGAACTGCCTTACTTTGATAACCCGATTAGTGTTTTTGTTCAAAAATGTATATCACCTAAATTATGATCTCCAGATTACAAGACTGATTATAGTTGTCACGTGGTTATAGCAGAAGAATATATATATTGAATTTGTTTAGTTTTGTTTGTACACCACCACAACACAGACAAGGATGTACGTTGTTAACCTATTTGTCGCTGTTTTCATCTTGCCGACGATTATTGCTGCCTTTGATGAATGTACGTCTAAAGGTAATTAATATAACAACTATGTCGCAGATTCATAATGTTAAATTTAGTGATTAAGTGTCTTCCGATGCCAAAATATAGTCTAAATTAATCAAATCAATCATAAACTGTAACTTGTTCAATATTACTAAGATCTTCGATGATAACCATCGTAGTGTCATCATATGAGAGCTTTATTTTTATGTAACATTTGTATTATATTTATATAACAATAACATTTTATGATTGATATAACAATTGAATTAAAATGACTTACATTCAATTCTTATTAATATATAGGTTTAGTAATATCTAGTAATATATAACCGATGTTTTGTAATTGTAAATTAGTTGTACTTTTTGTTTGAAAAAAGTTGAGTTGCTTTATTTTGACATATAAGACATTGACAAATATCCTTATACCCAAAGAGAAGAAACAACTTTATTAAACAAACTGTAACATATAAGAGGTGACTGAAATATTATTTCCAAATAGAACACACTGTGGATTATGTACGCCGTAAATGAACTTAAATGGATTTAAAACGAAAAGAATCCTTGCTTTAATGGACAGAACAAACAGGCATCAAACGCCACAACAGAGCAGAACAAAACAAAACTAAACGTAGTGTAAAAGCTAGAAAGTTTTTGAACACAATTGTAGGAATCGTCCTACAATTGTGTTCAAAAACTTTCTGGCTTTTACACTACGTTTAATCTTAGAATAAAATGAACACTTAAGATGAACTGAAAAAGAATTAGGATTATAAAAATGCAACATGTAATATATAAATAACACATATTATTGTTCCAGGACAGTGCACAGCCCTTGATGGTGTTACCTGTGTGGCACAGGGGGACCAACGCTTAGAGAAATGTAATACGTACACATGCAAGAAGAGTTACAATGTTTTGAAATACAAGGTCGTCAAAAAACTGCTAAGTATGTAATATATAACGGGGAGTGAAGTACTTATCCCAATAGTAGTGTGCTACGTGACTTTAAGAAGTGTTTACCAATAATGATGTATATTTATAATGAAGTTCGCTAAAACGATGCATTACGATAATACTAAGTTTGTTCTTTACTCGTTTGTTTAGATAAACATATGTTCTATATGTTTCCATGATATACATGTCTCAATAGTTATGACAGTATAGTAAAATATTATCACTGGATTAAATCAAACAAATGCGTCTGGGATGCGTATTACTTAAATAGATATATAAGCCAAGAAGTAATATGGTTTTTTTTTATCTAACGATTATTTTGTATTGCATTAAATCAAACTTTCGGGCTGAATTGTGTTTGCTTGTGTTGTAGAATGTAAACGGCCTGACGGGACATGCATGGAGATGGGTGTCGGAGAGAAGGACGAAACTAAATGCACTACAGAGAGCTGTCGGCGGGCGAAAAACAGTGATGGAACGTTTACAATGACCTATCGTGAAAAGTCATTCGGTACGTCCGTGTTAAAAAGCATTGCGCATTTCTGAGAAATATTCTAAATTTGTGTGATTTTGCTTGGAATATCTTTTGTAATAACAAATATAAATATGCAGACACATGACAGGTATTTTTCGTTTTAATACACAGCTGATAGAGGTTCGTCCTCGATATCCAGGGGTTACGCTCACTTTCGCTCTCTGCACCCCTGGAATATGTCATAGCAAAATTTAAGGCTCGGTGTGCGTCACCTTGTTAATGAGACAAGAAGACAAGTTCGATCCTTTGATGTATATCAAAAGAATCTCGCCGTCATGTAACGGTAAAAATTGACAGGCTTTGAAGAGTTAGGCGTCTCTCCTTTGTAATCTTCAAAGGACAGCCTAGCGATTGGTCAGGTTTTTTTTACCTGAAACCAATCAAACATCTCCGTGCCTTCAATTTTGCCATGACATATTCCAGGGGTGCATAGAGCGAATGTGAGCGTAACCTCTGTATATCGAGGATGATAGAGGACCGACTCCCTTGACAGAGATGTCGGGTTGTTTTTATATGGAGTAGCCTCTTTTATAATGTTGATAGTACATACTTGTATTTTGTCTATTGTGTACAGGGCAGTATTTTCTCTTTTGATGACTTCAGAATGTATTTCATTTTCTACTATTGTTAGTATGACATATCTTACTCTTTTCTGATGTTGATACAGTTTTTCCTAATTTCTACTGTTGAAGGATCAGATTGTTTTATGTTCTACCGTTAACAGCTTATCGGTTTCCCTGTCGTCAATATCATTGCATGCCTTGTCTTTCTAGGTTGTCCAATGAAGGATGGTTCATGTTTACTATTTGGTAAGCGAAACCAAATAAGAAACGAGGACAAGTGTCTATACACAACGTGTACGAGAAATAAAAACAAAAAGGGACAGTACATTAGCAGGTTAAAGAACAAGTACTATGGTAAGTAGCCTACAGTCGATACATGTAGTATATTTTACACGAAATTAACAGGTACATTGTATACTGTAATGGCATGATAAATGACGATTTTATTGTGCTGTGGTATAAGATAGGATTTCCGTACTGTTGTATATGAGATTGTTAATGATGTTTCTGTGTGGTAATATTAGCCATATTAACATGGAAGCACATGTGAACACGTCCTTATCTAAAGAAATAATACGTTCCTGGTAATATTCCATATCTTATAAGGTATAAAGATAGGATTTCGAATCAAATTGTGATTATATTATACCATATGTTCATTTTCTGCCTTTTTCAATTGACAAGCTACATTGACAAGAAAACCTGGAAACCTGACTTTTTTTTATATGATACACATTTTTGTCTCTTACTGAAAAGATGGTTGAAAACAGCTGTAGTTCTGTAGGGATACGGTATGATCTGCCATGGTTTAATGTTGTTCCAGATGATAAGCTGTGGTTCTATAAAATAACGGGAAAAATAGCTTTGATATGGTAGAATTACCTATGGCTTTATGGTATGAGATAAGCTTAGTAAAGTGCTGTGGTATTACTATAGGCTTGGTTATGGTTCTATATTATTATCATAAGCTTAGCCATAATTATATCGTGTTTCTGTAAGCTTAGCTGTGGTTCTTTGGTGTGACGATTAGCTTAGCCATGGTTCTGTTGTGTAACGGTTAGCTAAGCCATGGTTCTATGATGTAACGGTTAGCCTAGCCATGGTTTTATGGTATGGCGGTTAGCTTAGCCATGGTTCTATTATGTAACGGTTAGCTTAGCCATGGTTTTATGGTATGACGGTTAGCTTATCCATGGTTATGTTGTGTAACGGTTAGCTAAGCCATGGTTATAAGGTGTAACGTTTAGCTTAGCCATGGTTCTATGGTATGACGGTTAGCTTAGCCATGGTTCTATGGTGTAACGGTTAGCCTAGCCATGGTTTTATGGTATGAGGGTTAGCTTAGCCATGGTTATGTTGTGTAACGGTTAACTTAGACATGGTTTTATGTTGTATAACGTTTAGCTAAGCCATGGTTATAAGGTGTAACGTTTAGCTTAGCCATGGTTCTATGGTATGGCGGTTAGCTTAGCCATGGTTCTATTGTGTAACGGTTAGCCTAGCCATGGTTTTATGGTATGACGGTTAGCTTAACCATGGTTATGTTGTGTAACTTTTAGCTAAGCCTTGGTTCTATGGTGTAACTGTTAGTCTAGCCATGGTTTTATGGTATGAGGGTTAGCTTAGGCATGGTTTTATGGTATGACGGTTAGCTTAGCCATGGTTATATTGTGTAACGGTTAGCCTAGTCATGGTTATAAGGTATGACGATTAGCTTAGCCATGGTTTTATGGTATAACGGTTAGGTTAACCATGGTTATATCGTGTAACGGTTAGCTTAGGCATGGTTTTATGGTATGACGGTTAGCTTAGCCATGGTTATATTGTGTAACGGTTAGCCTAGTCATGGTTATAAGGTATGACGATTAGCTTAGCCATGGTTTTATGGTATAACGGTTAGGTTAACCATGGTTATATGGTGTAACGGTTAGCTTAGCCATGGTTTTATGGTATGACGGTTAGCTTAACCATGGTTATATGGTGTAACGGTTAGCTTAACCATGGTTCTGTTGTGTAAAGGTTAGCTTAGCCATGGTTTTATGGTATGACGGTTAGCTTAGCCATGGTTCTGTTGTGTAAATGTTAGCTTAACCATGGTTATACGTGGTGACGGTTAGCTTAACTATTGTTCTGTTGTGTAGCGGTTAGCTTAGACATTGTTCTGTTGTGTAACGGTTAGCTTAACCATGGTTCTGTTGTGTAACGGTTAGCCTAGCTATTGTTATAAGGTATGACGATTAGCTTAGCCATGGTTATTTGGTGTGACGTTTAGCTTAGCCATAGTTATGTTGCGTAACAGTAAGCTTAGCCATGGTTCTATGGTGTTGGTACAAGATTAGCCATGATTCTATGGTGTTGGTGCAAGCTTAGCCATGGTTCTATGGTGTTACTGTATGCTTGGTAATGGTTCATTGATGCAATGGTAAGCGCATCCATGGTTCTATGATATGACGATTAGGTTAGCCATGGTTCTATGGTGTGTAACAATTCGCTTAGCCATGATTCTATGGTGTTGGTGTAAGCTTAGTCATGGTTCTATTGTATAACTGTAAGCTTGGTAATGGTTCATTGATGCTATGGTAAGCGCAGCCATGAATCTATGGTATTTCAGTAGAATTATCTAGCCTCCTTAGATACACATATGACTTGTCTGGCAGCAATCTATCGTGAGATGAGACTCATTATTATGAAACATCCTGTATTACAGGATACCTTAGATGATGTTAATGCAAGATTATGTATGATGATATGTTATTGTTAAGCTCCATGTACGTTTAAAGCTGCACCAGTACAGAAATATTGTAATGTTAGAAATGATCCGTTACTATCATGATGATGCTGCAAGTCATAATGGTTTAAAACTACACTGGTTAAAGTACATGGGTATCTCCGTTACACTTGGGGTGACAATTAACACAGCATTAACTAAAACGGGCACAGTGACATCATGTTACTGTTGTGAAGTATCAAAAATTATCTGATGCCTTGCATTCCTGCCGCCTTCACGACATCATGTCCAAATAGGAGAGGTTTTAGATTATCATGTGTTGTAGAGGACATGTTTGTTCATTCATATCTTGATTTGTCTTCAGTTTCTAAGGGAGTTATCATTCCTTTCTCTACAATGTCTTCTTAAATTGGTTCCCGGTGCTTTCGTATATATTCGGAGTTCAGATGCTGTTTGTAGTTTTGCCGTAACCTTAATGGTCATAGTGTTCTGTTTTAAGTAGTGGCATGTTTCATAATATGCACATTTTAGTAATTAATTTAAAAATATCCAGTACTCCTCTTGATTTTCGAAATTCATAAACTAAGGGTTCGTAAGTTTCTCCCCTTCTGTCTTGACACTATGTTAAACCTATTTAGATTTCTAACTTTCTGGCTCTCGTATCACCACTGAGTCCTAGAAGTGTTTTTTTTCATATTTGGAAACAATGTATCTATTACTAAATTACAAAAAAAACAATCACTTGTATGTGTGTTACGTTCACTTTCGTTGGTGATGTGGTATATCTGTATATGTTACTTCACACTAGGGAGATGTCAGCCAGATCTGAGTACTGTCATATTGTTATACTGAAGCTTGAAACACGTAAACAATACCTGAAATAACGTATACATTTTAAAGTACATAGTGTGTAACATTTGTGATGAGGATTATGTAGAAGATGTTATAACAAATGGCAGTCTGTGTGTGAGCCAGACCTGAACAGAGAGCAAGGTGTTACCAGACAATCATTATAAAGTCTGAGTAGATTTGTTATCCAGCCGGTTTAGTACGAGACACTATGTTGGTATACATAGACATGCTTACACTAACTAACAAAACAGGAGTATCCGCCACGAATAACTGATGGAATAAGTAATAAACCGACATTTGTTTGATTGGATTCAATTAAAATCACAAATGAAATAAATATGCTACCAATTATTTGATTAAGATTAATTAACCATCTAATGTCAATGGTGTGTTCATTGTTCCTAACAGGATGTCCTAATGAAGGAGTATGTGAAGATGCTGAAGCAACGAAAACCGTCAGTTGCACCACATATATGTGTGTCCTTTCGAAAAGGCGCACCGTGATGAAATGGGACATACTTAAGACAGGTAATGATTACGTTAGGAGTGATATACCTGGGTATTTCAGTGTAGTGTGACTCCTACCAAATCTGAACTACATGTATTTTATACAGCAAATCTTTGAATGCTTTGTTAAGAATTTTACAAAACTTATAAAATAAAGAGGCAATATACGAATAGATGCAAAACATACACACCTATTTGATACTATTTAAGTATTTAAATGTGTATAATAACACGTTCAAATTAAACGTTCTAATCAATTGTTGTATTGGTACCACAATACCATATTAGTGATAAAAGTATTCAGTAACATCTAAAATGCTGTATGTTTGTCCGTGTGACAGGTTGTAAGACGGACGAAGGTTGTAAGTACGATACGGACGAATGGCCGGATCTGGACGCGTCTTCCTGTGTTACCAGACGCTGTGACGTGACCTTAAATACGATGGACGGGACATACAGCAGCGTCAACAGTGTGGCAAGGCATGGTTAGTCCTCTGCTCTATTGCAAATTCTTAGAAACGGACAAAGGGTTTGTATGCACCATGCAACTGAGCAAGTTAAAACGTCCTGATGTGAACATTGATAATGTGCGAGAAAGATTGTCACTTCGTAAATATTTTCCTTATACAGTTTGCTACTTTGTAAGATAAGTATTTTTTAACTATGCTTTTCCATACTTTTCTACTATGCGTTTCCATACAAATCTTGACACATGTTAGAAAATTTGAGCGTTGCTAAATTGTATTAAGCATAGCAAAATAGACAGTACGCAAAATGTAGAGAGTAACTTAAATCAATTAACGTCCAAATGAGCAGGCTACCATTGCTTGGCTTCTGTTTAAGGGTGCCGTGCTTCAAACGGCACGTGCTACTATAATGGTGAGACGTGGTCGGAGGAGGACTGTTACACTAGGCGCTGTGACGTCAGTATTACAGACAAAGGTGAATCAATGGCGGCACGTAACATTGAAAGTGGCAGTAAGTAATTCACATTTAATTATAATCGACTTCATTTTGAGGACATGTCCAGTAATACCTTAATTTCCAACATGTCATTTGAAAACCTACTACATGCCAAAATTGCAGCATGTTCTTTCACTGTCTGCAGTTGAGGATTAATACAAAATTGAGATTCTTAAATGTCTAGCCCGAAGTTTGGTTGACATCTCTACATTTAGGATCATTACCCTGAGGGTTGAGATTTTTCTGTCTTTGTCCCGAAGTGGAATATGTTTCTCACAACTCAAATACAATTGTGATTAAAGAAAACACAATCGCTGATTGCATGGTTTTCCAGCAAATCCATTGGGCTATTTTCCGTCAATTGATATAACGTCAATGCATTGACGTGACGTCATACCATTGTTATGACTTGGAGATCACCTCGTCTTTAGAAATAAAATCCCCGACTGGATATCTTATAGGGAAGGAAAATCCCATCTTGAGCAGCCATACTTTTACATCAGCATATTTTAAAGTAACCATTTTTTAAATAATTTTGTTTGTATTAAGTATGTCCTCCCCTTAATTTTGCCCAACGTCTAAAACGGCTAGATTTCAAAATGGGGACAGTAAAGTTATCATATAGTAGGTTTTCATGGAAACGATATCTTTCATATGATCGCTCACAATAATTTTGTTATTTGTATATTTTGATTACCTGATTTGAGAAATATCGAGTTTTTAAAAATATCTATTTTACCTCTGACAACACCTGTGTTGTCCATTCAAAGGCCGGAAAATCGAGTCCGAAAAATACACCACGGGAACCAAGACGTATTTTATGGATTGTTATAATTGTGTGTAATAAAAAGTGTTATAGTCTACGAATTGCTATTGGCCTAAACATAATCTTTCAACGCATTTTATTTTATTTTTATTTTATCAGTTTGCAAGGACGCTGATGGGTCTTGTAAGGGTTACGGGGAGGCCATGAAGTACCAGTCAGGTGCCGCCACGTTTGACTGCGTTTGTGATGAAACCAAATCTACACAGGGTTACCCACAAGGAAGACCGGTGTGCACCAGTCCGTAATGTGTATTGTTAGGTACCGCCTCGCTTGACTGCGTTTGTGATGAAGCCATATCTACACAGGGTTACTAACAAGGAAGACCAATGCGCTATTGTCCGTAATAGGAATTCATAGTTAACTGTCATATTATCATTACACGCGTTATATGATATGTAAGTTATCGAGATCCCCACGAATTACACAAATACATCTTTACCAACCTGTTGACTTATTTGTTTGTTTTAGAGCATGGTATATGTTCGCTTCAATTTAGTAGTTCAGTAACCAGCAGACGAATCGTAATTTAGTTGATGGTGCTGTCGTTTATGCTTTGTAGACTTTGAACTGTGTTTACAAAATCTGTTATACTAACTGGGTACGAATTATGTTGTAAAAACTCTACTATAAGATTATTATTATTATATATAAATAACGCAAAGTGGCAAACGTTTGTCTCTAGGTATCAGACAGGAACAGCGACTTTGAATGCCTATGAAACGTTGAAAAGTGTAGCAGATAGAAACGATACTCATCTAGGGATCCATACAACTCAAGAATAGCCTAGTTACTGAAAGAATTACTAGTCGATTCTATCTTTTAGAAAAATCATGTAAAATGGTTAAGTCACTGTGAACGTGACAACAGATTAAAAATAATTACTAGGAATACAACGTACAGATTTAAAGTAATTACTAGGTATACAACGTATAGAAGACCCTACCTGGCTAGGTTATCTGCAAACAGACAAATAACAGGTTATTTCTATGTAATATAAAATACTGTCCGGACTTCTTTTTTTGTTATGAGGTTTTATTTAATATGGGAGCAAAAATCAGTTCTGATATGATATATATAACCTTTTTGTAGTTACTCATTAGTGGATATTTTGCGTGAAGATGGATATAAGATCATGGTCTCGTTGCATCGAATGCCTGTACTCAAACCTTTTATGTCCACCTCAACACAAACACGATCATCAATGTGGCTCCAGTAAAGCAGACGCCTTTGTGAAGAACGTGATTTGCTCTGCTCTGTCGCACTTGCTCGATCTCAATAATTAGGCAGGAATTTCGGTTTAAAACATCGTGAATTATATGAAAATAAGGTTATCATATGACAATTTCATATTCTTCCCCAATCCATCTTTGACCAAACTGACCCCTCGAGCTGATATTGAAGTCCCGAGTGTATACGTGCTAGAATGTAGAAATGGTCATATGATTACTTCTACGCCTCCAAATACAAGCGTGTTATATGTAATGACAGTAGTTGTAAGCGTATGCACTCGAGCTTTTTTTTAGTTATTAAGATTAAAACAACACGTGTGAAATTCGTCTCAGCAGTTGTCCCTTTACCAGCGCTTTATACTCACTGGCAAAATGTAAAAATACATTTTCATAGTTAAATTTCGGAAATGTAGTTTTTTTATTACTCGCTGGGTTGCCACTTAATCGTACGTACGTGTCATACTGTATAATTGTAGGAATAATATTTGGCTATGTGGGTATTAGAGAAAAACAGTTATCACCGACTTAGTAACCTTAAACATCTTCAAATTATATCGATAAACATAATCAACAAAAAGGCGGTTTCCGGATGTTTATTACTCTAGGCTATTATGCCGATTTTGACAATCACTAAGCAGGGGAACATGACTTAAATGCAGCATGGTTGCCACTGATTTTGCATTGGCACTTGTAGGTCCTCTTGCCAATTTTGTGACGAAATAATTTTCCGTTTGCGTGGCACTTCCCAAAGGAGGAATGGCATTCTGAATAGCAATGTGTAAAAGTATACAGGGTGATACCGATACAATGTCACAAATATACACAGTAATACAGATACTGTGTCACACATGTATACAGGGCCAGACAGTGATAATGTCACAAATATACACAGTAATACAGATACTGTGTCATACATAATTATATACAGGGCCAGACAGTGATAATGTCACAAATATACACAGTAATACAGATACAGTGTCACAAATATAGAGTGTCAGACAGATACAGTGTCACAAATATAGAGTGTCAGACATATACAGTGTCACAAATATACAAATATACAGCGTTAGACAGATACAGTGTCACAAATATACAGAGTAAGGTAGATATAGTGTCAGAAATATACAGTGTCAGACATATACAGTGTCACAAATATACAGTGTCAGACAGATAGTGTCACAAATATACAGAGTAAGGTAGATACTGTGTCACAAATATACAGTGTCAGACAGATACAGTGTCACAATTATACAGAGTAAGGTAGATACTGTGTCACAAATATACAGTATCAGACACATAAAGTGTCACAAATATACAAATATACAGCGTTAGACAGATACTGTGTCACAAATATACACAGTAATACAGATCTAGTGACACAAATATACACAGTAATACAGATACAGTGTCACACAATTAGTGATACAAAAACATATAGCATCACAAACAGAAAACATCACAGTTATGTTCTACCATTTCATAAATGTAGACAAGAAAGGTTGCATGACTTTACGTTTTAATAGTATATCATTGTTAATAACACTGGAAGATTTTAAAGCCTTTCATTATATGGACATGTTAATGAGCTCAGCATCAGAGATAGCACTTTTAATGATAGCTTAAGAGTAAGAAATAATCTCAATGAATAGGGACGTGTTGATGTTTACTCTTGGTGTGGTATGTTGCCTTTGTAAAGCTTAATGTAATGTATGATGCTCATCAATATATACCTATGTAACACTTACTGTGTTATACCTGCAGTACAAAATAAACTTGTGCAGTATGCTGCAGCGTCGATAACAAACCATAAAACCAGAGCGCGAAGTATTATATAGTTCAAACTTACTATAAGATATGAGGTCCAGATGGAGCTTGTAATTCTTCATCACACACTTGTAGGTGGCGCAGTCCTTTGTCTTTTTTCTATTCAATGAGACGCAATCTTTCATGCCACTTGGGCACTCTAAAATGAAATATAAAATTTCGCTCTTCATTAGATTTTATTCAAATTCATATATCTTCATAACGGTAATATACAACATACAAATTTACTGATATTAGCTTAATTTGGAATATTTCTCGGTTTCAATTTTATATTTTAAGATTTTCAATATTTATTTATGACCAGTCATCCACATCTTTTTCGAAACAATTAATATCAAAAACTACTGCAGAATGATTTAAGAATCTGCTCGCTCTATATCGCAGAGGTAAATATCATTTACAAGCGTCTGCCAGGATTAATGACTGACGGTAAGTGTTTCATACTCACTAGTCATGCAGATCATACTCGCGTGGGATTGTATCACAACGAGCAGGAGACAGGTCAGTAATACAGGGAAAATGTACTTCATCTAAAATTAAATACAAATTCCTTAATCTATACAGAACAACATCGAACACGTATACATTTACTGCAAAAGAGTAAACAAAACTTTCCTCTATATTAAAAAGTGAGCACCATACTTATCTACAATAATACATATAGTTAAACAGTGTATAGATACTTTATCTATAGTAAAACAGTGAACAGATACTTAATCTATGGTAACACATTGCATCTATACTCATCTACAGTCAAACAGTGAACAGATATTTTATCTACAGTAAAACACTGGACAGGTTCTTCATCTACAGTAAAACAGTGAACAGATATTTTATCTACAGTCAAACAGTGAACAGGTATTTTATCTACAGTAAAACACTGGACATGTTCTTCATCTATAGTAAAACAGTGAACAGATATTTTATCTACAGTAAAACAGTGAACAGATATTTTATCTACAGTAAAACACTGGACAGGTTCTTCATCTATGGTAAAACAGTGAATATGTACTCATCTACAGTCAAACAGTGAACAGATATTTGATCTACAGTAAAACACTGGACAGGTTCTTCATCTATAGTAAAACAGTGAATATGTACTCATCTACAAAAAACGGTGAACAGATAATCCATCTATGGTAAAACAGTGAATCTGGACTCATTTACAGTAAAACACTGAACAGATACTTTTCAATAGTAAAACAGTGAGTATGTACTCATCTACAGTAACGCAGTGAACAGATCATTCATCCAAAGTAAAACAGTGAACAGATACTTCCTCTGAAATAAAACAGTGAACAGATACTTCATCTAAAGTAAAACAGTGAGCATATACTTCATCGAAAGTAAAACAGTGAACAGATATTTCATATATAGTAAAACAGTGAACATATACTTCATATATAGTAAAACAGTGAACAGATAATTCATATATAGTAAAACAGTGAGCATATACTTCATCTAAAGTAAAACAGTGAACAGATACTTCATATATATTAAAAAACAGTGAACAGATACTTCATATATAGTAAAACAGTGAACATATACTTCATCTAAAGTAAAACGATGAACATAAATTTCATCTAAAGTAAAACAGTGAACAGATACTTCAAATATAGTAAAACAGTGAACAGATACTTCATCTAAAGTAAAACGATGAACATCAATTTCATCTAAAGTAAAACAGTGAACAGGGACTTCATCTACAGTAAAATAGTGAACAGGTACTTCATCTATAGTAAAACAGTCAACAGGTTCCTATCCACAGTAAAACAGTGAACATATACTTCATGTCAGTGAACACGTAATTTATCTAAAGTAAAAATGAATCATCTACAGTTATTGAGTACATAGGAATTCAGGAAACATGGACTTAACCCACGATTTAATACGAAACTTAATTATTCAATTAGCTAGTAAAGATGAAACAGGTAGCTCCTCGTCAGTGGTCTAGGCACAACAGAGGTCATGTGCCAATGAACAATACGAATACAGACCTCATGTATATTCTGTAATGCCTTTACAGCCTCGATTTCAAGAAGAGAAAGGAATAGATATTTCAAAAGAAAAGAATGAATATGTACTTACCTTGATTTCGGCTCTCTCACACAGACAAATTGTATCCCGTAAACGTCTCACTTATATACCCTTAATTTCCTAAACATGTACATTGATATTCTAGCAACAATTTGATAAATGTAACATATGTTATGTATCAAAAGACAAATCTTTTAGTAAAACGCATTACATATTCAACGCTTGCCAATCAATTTAAGTCATTATGCTCGTTGCATACAAAGTCTTCGCATCTTGCTGAATCTTTGAAAATATAAATATCACGTGTAGGAAATATTCCGTTTCGTGAAAAGCAAAACACTAGCTACAAGTGTATCACTTAATGTTACTGTGAAACCTGAAATGTTACCGACAGAAATAGTTAACAAGCAAAACACTAGCTACAAGTGTATCACTTAATGTTACTGTGAAACCTGAAATGTTACCGACAGAAATAGTTAACAAGCAAAACACTAGCTACAAGTGTATCACTTAATGTTACTGTGAAACCTGAAATGTTACCGACAGAAATAGTTAACAAGCAAAACACTAGCTACAAGTGTATCACTTAATGTTACTGTGAAACCTGAAATGTTACCGACAGAAATAGTTAACAAGCAAAACACTAGCTACAAGTGTATCACTTAATGTTACTGTGAAACCTGAAATGTTACCGACAGAAATAGTTAACAAGCAAAACACTAGCTACAAGTGTATCACTTAATGTTACTGTGAAACCTGAAATGTTACCGACAGAAATAGTTAACAAGCAAAACACTAGCTACAAGTGTATCACTTAATGTTACTGTGAAACCTGAAATGTTACCGACAGAAATAGTTAACAAGCAAAACACTAGCTACAAGTGTATCACTTAATGTTACTGTGAAACCTGAAATGTTACCGACAGAAATAGTTAACAAGCAAAACACTAGCTACAAGTGTATCACTTAATGTTACTGTGAAACCTGAAATGTTACCGACAGAAATAGTTAACAAGCAAAACACTAGCTACAAGTGTATCACTTAATGTTACTGTGAAACCTGAAATGTTACCGACAGAAATAGTTAACAAGCAAAACACTAGCTACAAGTGTATCACTTAATGTTACTGTGAAACCTGAAATGTTACCGACAGAAATAGTTAACAATCAAAACACTAGCTACAAGTGTATCACTTAATGTTACTGTGAAACCTGAAATGTTACCGACAGAAATAGTTAACAAGCAAAACACAGCTAGTATGTTGTTAATGTTTATCCAACTTGTAAAAGTATGAACTAAACTCATAATTCTAACATCATAATGAACTGCGCTTGTAGATTCGTCACAAGGAAACACAAGCATTAAATGGATAAACGAGTTTTAAGTGCTTTAATAGTTAATTAACCTTTTATAACACATTTCATTAGATGTACGCTTTGTTTCGTTTCCTGTAATGAATGGGTGTCCTGAGAAATCATGAATATTGGTTGAAGATTCCGCTGACTTTCATTTTTCAACATTTCACATTAGTTGCTTTCATACTACATAAACTTCAATTATTATTTGATTTTTGTAACGATATGATTAACGATTCATTTTAATATTTAAATGAACCTGGGTTATATTAGTAACAACGAAGTATGCATGTCGATTAAAAGGACAATGACGATATCTTAGTTTTGTAATAACTTCATAAACATACAAAAACAGACCGGCTACTTGAAAAAAAAGATATTATTACAAGAACCGATTTGGCATTGCCAATTTTATACAGACTTTCATATATTGTTTACCCATTTTGGAGTATTTTCCAAATGTTCTTCTCGCTTTTGATTGTATGTACAGTTCCTCAGTATTAACGTGGGATTGTCGTGTGGCTTTTTTCTGGTCAGACACTATCGATAATTTCGTCTTATATTCGTCATAGCATTAGTAGCTCATTGTTTGTTTATTATTCTCTCCTGTGACTTATTTATACATTTATATTCATGAGACGTTTTACGGAAGCGTAACATATGTTCTAAAGTGAAGCATTTACGACATTAGACAGTCCATGCACGACAACACATTTTGATATACGAAGAACGGTATTACAATCACTCAATTGTAAACAACCTTTCCATACGTATGTTACATTTTATCTGACTCCATTTTAACAAACAATATACTTGATGCACTTTTATTACGATAAAGGTTTGTTTAAAAGCGATTATGCCTGTTATAGAAATGATATACTAATCTGTCTGAGGTTTATGATTGTATGCCTGTTATATGCCTTATATACTACTTTGATTGGGGTTTATCGTTTTATGCCTGGTATATGACTTATATACTACTCTGTTTGAGGTTTACTGTTTTATGTCTGTTATAGGACTTATATAATAATCTGTCTGAGGTTTATTGTTTTATGCCTGTTATATGACTTATATACTACTCTGTCTGAGGTTTATTGTTTTATGCCTGTTATAGAACTTATATACTACTCTGTCTGAGGTTTACTGTTTTATGCCTTTTATAGGACTTATATAATAAGATGTCTGAGGTTTATTGTTTTATGCCTGTCATATGATTTATATACTAATCTGTCTGGGGTTTATTGTTTTATGCCTGTTATAGGACTTATATAATAATCTGTCTGAGGTTTATTGTTTTATGCCTGTTATATGACTTATATACTACTCTTTCTGGGGTTTATTATTTTAAGCCTGTTTTATGACTTATATACTACTCTGTCTGAGATTTATTGTGTTATGCCTGTTATATGACTTATATACTACTCTGTCTGGGGTTTATTATTTTATGCCTGTTATAGGACTTATATAATAATCTGTCTGAGGTTTATTGTTTTATGCCTGTTATATGACTTATATACTACTCTTTCTGGGGTTTATTATTTTAAGCCTGTTTTATGACTTATATACTACTCTGTCTGAGATTTATTGTGTTATGCCTGTTATATGACTTATATACTACTCTGTCTGGGGTTTATTATTTTATGCCTGTTATAGGACTTATATAATAATCTGTCTGAGGTTTATTGTTTTATGCCTGTTATATGACTTATATACTACTCTTTCTGGGGTTTATTATTTTAAGCCTGTTTTATGACTTATATACTACTCTGTCTGAGGTTTATTGTTTTATGCCTGTTATATGACTTATATACTACTCTGTCTGGGGTTTATTATTTTAAGCCTGTTATAGGACTTATATAATAATCTGTCTGAGGTTTATTGTTTTATGCCTGTTATATGACTTATATACTACTCTTTCTGGGGTTTATTATTTTAAACCTGTTACAGGACTTATATACTACACTGTCTGGGTTTTTTTGTTTTAAGCCTGTTATATGACTTATATACTACTCTTTCTGGGGTTTATTATTTTAAGCCTGTTTTATGACTTATATACTACTCTGTCTGAGGTTTATTGTTTTATGCCTGTTATATGACTTATATACTACTCTGTCTGGGGTTTATTGTTTTATGCCTGTTATAGGACTTATATAATAATCTGTCTGAGGTTTATTGTTTTATGCCTGTTATATGACTTATATACTACTCTTTCTGGGGTTTATTATTTTAAACCTGTTACAGGACTTATATACTACACTGTCTGGGTTTTTTTGTTTTAAGCCTGTTATAGGACTTATATACTACTCTGTCTTAGGTTTATTGTTTTATGCCTGTTATAGGACTTATATACCACTCTGTCTGGGGTTTATTGTTTTATGCCTGTTATATGACTTATATACTACTCTGTCTGAGGTTTATTGTTTTATGCCTGTTATATGACTTATATACTACTCTGTCTGAGGTTTATTGTTTTATGCCTGTTATATGACTTATATACTACTCTGTCTGAGGTTTATTGTTTTAAGCCTGTTATATGACTTATATACTACTCTGTCTGAGGTTTATTGTTTTATGCCTGTTATATGACTTATATACTACTCTGTCTGAGGTTTATTGTTTTATGCCTGTTATATGACTTATATACTACTCTGTCTGAGGTTTATTGTTTTATGCCTGTTATATGACTTATATACTACTCTGTCTGAGGTTTATTGTTTTATGCCTGTTATATGACTTATATACTACTCTGTCTGAGGTTTATTGTTTTATGCCTGTTATATGACTTATATACTACTCTGTCTGAGGTTTATTGTTTTATGCCTGTTATATGACTTATATACTACTCTGTCTGAGGTTTATTGTTTTATGCCTGTTATATGACTTATATACTACTCTGTCTGAGGTTTATTGTTTTATGCCTGTTATATGACTTATATACTACTCTCTCTGAGGTTTATTGTTTTATGCCTGTTATATGACTTATATACTACTCTGTCTGAGGTTTATTGTTTTATGCCTGTTATATGACTTATATACTACTCTGTCTGAGGTTTATTGTTTTATGCCTGTTATATGACTTATATACTACTCTCTCTGAGGTTTATTGTTGTATGCCTGTTATATGACTTATATACTACTCTGTCTGAGGTTTATTGTTGTATGCCTGTTATATGACTTATATACTACTCTGTCTGAGGTTTATTGTTGTATGCCTGTTATATGACTTATATACTACTCTGTCTGAGGTTTATTGTTGTATGCCTGTTATATGACTTATATACTACTCTGTCTGAGGTTTATTGTTGTATGCCTGTTATATGACTTATATACTACTCTGTCTGAGGTTTATTGTTGTATGCCTGTTATATGACTTATATACTACTCTGTCTGAGGTTTATTGTTGTATGCCTGTTATATGACTTATATACTACTCTGTCTGAGGTTTATTGTTGTATGCCTGTTATATGACTTATATACTACTCTGTCTGAGGTTTATTGTTGTATGCCTGTTATATGACTTATATACTACTCTGTCTGAGGTTTATTGTTGTATGCCTGTTATATGACTTATATACTACTCTGTCTGAGGTTTATTGTTGTATGCCTGTTATATGACTTATATACTACTCTGTCTGAGGTTTATTGTTGTATGCCTGTTATATGACTTATATACTACTCTGTCTGAGGTTTATTGTTGTATGCCTGTTATATGACTTATATACTACTCTGTCTGAGGTTTATTGTTGTATGCCTGTTATATGACTTATATACT